CAGGCTGGCACGTGCAGATGAGCCCCATGTTGCATAGGAGGGACCCCAATTATGGCTGCTGTGCCTCAGGGACATCGGGGGCTGATGAGTGAAGAGGGGGAACCATGCAGACTCCTGGGCACCTGTAATTGGTTCCGGAGCATAGGCACAAGGGGGGAAGGCGCCCACGTGTTCACCGAGCCCGTGGTGGGCGGCACCATGCCCCACAGACTCCCCTCCTGGTTCATGTCCACTCTCAGAATGTGGAAGGGGAGACAGCGGCTTTCCCTCTGGCCTGTGTCCCCCTCATGAGGTGGCTGTCGCAGTGGGAAGATGCTCCAGCCATCCCCTGAGCAGTCCCTGGGGAAACTGGCTACTTCAGTCCCAAAGGGAAAAGGCACCCATGGGTCTGGGGCAGCCCCGGAGGTGTGGAGCGTGGCTCTCTTGTTCAGCTGGGAGAAGTGGGCGAGTGGATGACCCCCAGAGATACAGCCTTCACCTTAGCTCGAGCTGCCAAGCAAGGCCACGAGGTTTCCAGGCAGCCCTTGGCTGACAGCTGAGCGGGCAAGGGCACTGGGGCAGACCGTATTGCCAAACTAGAACTGTTCTCATGGATGCTGTCTGCTCTGGAGTGCCTCTAGGGTAGGCTGGCACTTGGGCACGTTTGCTGGGCAAGCTGCTCAACTCCTGGGTCAGTCCTGCCCCTTCTCACTGTTACTCCTCCCAGTGTGGCCTCCCAATGGACCCCCTGCACGCTCTGTCTACAAACACACACACACACACACACACACACACACACAACACACGGGGACTTCCAAGGATTCATGGGGAAAGCACTTAAAAGATAAATTTGCTTTATTGCAAACATGCCGACATTCTCACGTATAAACGATCTTCCGAAAGTTTATGGAAAATGTGCATTTTGGAAAACGATGCATGGATTTTAAAAACTTTTTGCTCCAAAATAAGCCTATCTTCTAATTCCATTTTTCCACGCAGTTTTTAAAGTCTGCTTGTATACAGAGACAGACAGAGGGAGAGGAAGAAAAGGATGGGGAGGGGGAGGGGAAGGAGAGCAAGGGGGAGGAGCCCAGGAAGGCAGCCTTGAGTGTAGACCTGGGATAAGCAGCTGTGGGAAGTGAAGCCCCCAGGGACAGACAGAAACAGGAGCAGGTGCTCCCTTGCTGCTCTGTGTGTCCTGTGCCTTGCAGTCGGCTTGCTCCTGAGAGCAGAGGAAGACGGAGAGACAGAGAGCGAGCCTGGGGGCCCAGGAAGGGAGGTTCCGTGCTGTAGGATCACATGCTGGCCTCCAGTGAGGTCCAGTGAAACACTCAACAGCCGGCAGAGGTGGAGCGAAGCGCAGGCAGCCCCTGAGGCTGGGCCAAGTCTGCTCAGCTCTCTACCTAGCGGGGTGAGGCTCTGGGGCTCAGAGCCAAGTCTGCGAGGCAGGGGGAGAAGCCGAGTGGGTGCGGAGGGGCTGGCTCTGCCACTCCTCTTGACCCTGCTTGAAGCTTGGTGTTTATCTGCTTGTGGCTGGAGCTCCTCCTTGGCTCCCCGAGCAGCCTCTGAGTGGCAGATGGGCTCTGGCTCCGTCCCACAGGGGAGCAGCTACCTGAGCCAGGGTCTGCAGCGTGCTGGGTTGGCCAGAGCGGCTCTTCTCGCCACCCTGGTCTAATGCGGAAACACAGTCTCCCACTGCACGTGTCTCAGACTGCACAAGGACCTTCAAAATGTCCCTGAAAAAAAAAATGTGTATTATGAAAAAAAAAAAAAAAACAGGCATGGATTTCCAATGTTCTTTTGACCAAAATAAACTTTTTAATTCCATATATTCAGGAACTTTTCGAAGTGCCCTCCGATCACTGGTGAATTCCAGCTCAGATCATATAAATATGTTTTCCAGTCCCCTCTCTGCAGTGGACAGTAACTGGAAAGGTCTGTCTACCAAGTGCATGAACACTGGAAACCTCTCGACTGAACTTTTATGCAGACTTCAGGTCTCAAAGGCTTTGGGTTAGCTCCAGTTGCTAATGGGCACATTGTATAATTCTCACAAAGTATCTGGATGCAGCAATTTAAAAAAATCAGAGATTTCGCGTACAATTTGGGATGTATGGGTTGCCGGAAACAGGTGCCAGCTGTGGGCAGCCCCTGGCTAAGTTTCTACCTGTGGCTAACCTGGATCTACGTGGCCCCATACCTGGCTCAGTTTATCCATTCACACCTTGCAACTTGCAACCCTCCCCCCACGCCCCAGGATGGCCCACGCACTGACTGGACCTCACCCGTCATTTAGCACAGCCCTAGTCTCTGGCCAGGATTTCAGAACTGAGTTTGCTTCATTTTCAAGTCCAGTATTCCGCCGTGTTTGCGTGATGTGGGATCCCTGCAGCACCCGCATGGGCTGTGCACGGAGGCACTCCAGCCTGGATTTATAAATCGCCTTGCTCCTTACAAACGTCACGCCAGGCCACGGCACTTACACTTTTCAGCACATTCTCGAAGGCTGTCTTTGGGGCCCACTTCTCCTTCTGCCCTTCTGCCTGCCTGTCTATCTGTCTGTCCCCCCCCCCCCCCCACCAAAATGCACACAGCAGAAGATGTGCGTGGCGGATTATCTCATTAGCAGAGGCCTCACAGGAAAAGAGTGGCCGGATGCTAAACATGTCGATAATTACGTCCTTGGTTCAAGGCCAGAACCCCCTCTCTCTCCCCGGCTGCTTGCCAGCTCTGGGAAGGCGCCGCAGGCTTCCGCAGCCCCGCACGCACAGCTCGGAGCCCGGGCCTCCTGCTCCAGAGAGCTGAGCTATTTCTGTGTGCCTGTGTGGGAAGGGTGGGAAGACCGGAGGAAAAGTGAGAAAATGTATGTAAGCAAATATTTCAAAGAAAAGAGGGGGAAGCTCATTCTTTCGGCAGCATTATAAGATAATTGATGTGATCCTGCCAGACCCCGAAATGAACAGCGGGCCCTCTGTCCCTGGGTGGCCCCGGGAGACACGGAGGAGTGCCAGTTACAGCCTGGGGCCGGTCTGGACATCTTCGGGAAATGACGGTCGACTCTGTCCCTTCCCACCTGCCTGGAAATGATCCGAGGCCCTGAAGCCGCACTCCCTGGCTCTGCCCCCATTCCACTGCCATCTTCCAGAACGATGCCTGGCATTTATCAAGCTCATGGCCACGCCAAACCGTACCTCTGTGGGGTGTACCTACAGGAACAGAGGATGCCAGACACAGGCAGGAAGGGGAGGCATAAAGCAGATGAGTTAATTTTGTCCTTTTTAAAAAAATTAATTACTTATTTGAAAGGCAGAGAAGCAGACAGACAGACAGACATCTCCCATCAGCTGGTTCATTTCCCAAATGCCTACAGCAGCCAGGGTGGGGACAGGCTGCACCCAGGACCCTGGAACTCAATCTGGGTTTCCCACGTGAGTGGCAGGGACCCATATAGCCAAACCACCACCTGCTGTCTCCTGGGCTGCACATTAGCAGGAAGCTTGGAGCAGCAGAGCCAGGACTTGACCCCAGGCACTCGGACAGGAGGTGCAAACGTCCCAAATGGAGTTTTCACCACACTGCCGGATGCTCACCCCGGTTGAGTTCCGCAGCTTTTAAACGAGAGTCTCATCCTCCCCTTGATTCTTCCTGTCTATGTGTTCCACCAAGTCGAAAGTGAGCACCCTTCTTCTCCCTTCCTCCTTTTCCTTTAAGGGGCAAATTGAACAGGCAACCGCTGAGATTGAGTGAATAGTGAAAGAAGGAAATCCAAGTGAGAACATTGTGACCCAAGTGTGCCTGTGGCTTACTGATCACAAATGTCCACAAGCAACTCAAACTAAACAAAATCGCACCCAGAAAACCAGTTTCGGTTTCGAGAGTGTTTTGACATTCAGGCTTTTCTTGGTTTCAGTCATTTTGGGAACTATATAAATTTGCTTCTGAGTTAGGCTTTTGATTCACACTCTAGTTAAAAGAATGTGGATTTCACTCCATTTGAATTCCACAAGCTAACCTTTCTCCCCATGGGTTTGGTTCTCACACAGGGTGGCACCCAGAGGCACTAGATCAGAAACACCCATTGTAATATGGCAATGCTCCCTGGTTAAGATCATTAAAAAATCAGGATTTAGTGCATAGGAAGTATGAGAAATTACAAGGACTCATATGGAAGGGAAATGAGGAAATTCAGGGACCCACCTTTCCTTTGTTTAAGATTTATTTTATTTATTTGAAAGGTAGGGTGACATAAAAGGGAGAGAGAGTGTGTGTGTGTTTTATCTGCTGGTTCACTTCCCAAATGGCTGCAACAACTAGGACTGGGCCAAGCCAAAGACAGGAGTCTGGAACTCCATCCGGGTCCCCCACATGGGTGGCAGGGGCCTAAGCATTTGGGCCATCTTCCACTGCTTTCCCAGACACATCATCAGGAGCTGGATAAGAAGCAGAGCAGCCGGGACTCAAACTAGAGCTCACACGGGATGCGGGCAGCGCAGGCAGCGGCTTTACCTGCTGTTCCACAAGGCTGGCCCTAGGGACCCGTCTTTCTTTCTTTTTTTTTTTTAATCTTTATTTTATTTTTTAAAGATTTATTTATTTATTTGAAAGTCTGAGTTATATGGAGAGAGACTAAAGAGGCGGGGGGGGGGGGGTAGAGAGGTCTTCCATCCGCTAGTTCACTCCCGATTGGCCACAACAGCCGGAGATGTGCCAATCCGAAGCCAGGAACCAGGAGCTTCTTCTGGGTTTCCCACAGGGGTGCAGGGTCCCAATGACTTGGGCCATCTTCTGCTGCTTTCCCAGGTCATAACAGAGAGCTGGATTGGAAGTGGAGAAGCCGGGAATCGAACCGGTGCCCATATGGGATGCTGGTGCTTCGGGCCAGGGCATTAACCCACTGCGCCACAGTGCCGGTCCTGGGACCCGTCTTTCTTGACATGCTGGGAATCAGTAGTGTTCAAGGCCAGGGGCACCCAATACCTCTCCCTTCACAGTAGTTTTAGATGTGTTTATTGGTGTCAGCCATGAATGTGGATGAGAGTCTGAAGCTGGGTACCTCCTTCCGGAGCGGGCGCTGTGGGGACCGTATCCAGACCCCTTTGTAGTGAAAGAGCACTGGGCCCAGCTGATGGGAATGTTGGCTGCCAGCGGCCCACAGCTGGCCCTCCCCAGTCCCGACTTCAGCCCCAGGAACAGGAAGCACCTCCTTCTTTGCCCCAGGACCCTCCTGACATGGGACGTCTCCTGCTCTGGGCTCCCAGCAGGGACAGGCTGGGACTGGCGTTGGAATGAGCCTGCACACTTGCTCAGCTCCTCCGGCTGTGTGCTTCCCTGGAGCATTCCCAAACAGAAGTCTCGGGCTCGGCTTTCTCCCAGGGACCCTTTGGCTAAAGATGCCAACCATCTTCTGACAAAGTTGTAGCTGGTTCAGATGCACTTGGCACAACTCCCGGCCGATATCTTACTATTACATTCCTGTGACCCCGAAAAGGTTTTTTGATTGATCAAGGTGACCTTGTTCTCTGGGCTTGGTGTCTGTAAATCATCAGATCATCCCTGTCTAGGGGCCACCAAGTGAGTAGAGGTTTCTAGCTACTAATAGCAACAATACCAAGTCAAAGCAACTCTGAATTTCTCTCTGAGCCAAAAAAAAAAAAAAAATTCTTTTCAAGTAACATTTCCAACCCCCCTCTCTTGTATCCTCAAATGCAAAAGGAAAACAAAACAATGGAAAATGCCTGAACCCAGCAATTCTATTATCATCTCGTACACAGCTCTTTCTCCCTCTCTCCCCCAGCTCTAAATTGCTCTCTCTTCCTCTTGTATCTCTTCCACACAGCTGGAAAGAACATTGAATCTAGGCGGAAAATCAGCACAACCATACAGCTTTGTTGAACAAAATGGGACTTCCTTCCTGGGCACCCAGGTTGAAGCTCTTTTGCCATTTGTGTGACAGTGGTTACGGGTGTGAGTCCCTGTTGGACACTCCAGTTTGTTCTGGGGATTTTTATGTGTAACTAAACTTACACTTTGCAAGGTAGAGCAGAATCCTGTAATGATACAGGAGCATGGGACTCTACCAGGAACGTTTCAGGGGCTCAGACAATCCAGGTCACAGTGCAAGACACACAGAGATCCCTCTGCTGGGGCAGGGAGATGTCGCTGGATAACCATTCTAAGTGCAGCACGGGCAGAGGGCAGAACTTCAGACAGCACACAGTAAGTTGGAGGTTGACCATTGACATTGAATGTGATATGGCGGGGTTGGAAGGAGCGTGGGAAAATCCTTCACTCCATGTTACTAAAGCCCTAGTCTCCCAGGACACTTCCATTTGTAGCTGGTGCCCTTGAAGCCCTGCCTGAGGCTTTATCCTGAGATTCTCCCAGGCCCCAGAGAGTTGTTGAACTATAAACTGGAGAAAACTGGATGTGCAAGAGAATAGGGCAGTTACACCAACCAGCTGGGCATGGGAAGAGGCACAGAAATATCCCAGTCCTTATTCTGCTGTGGGCCCCTCTGGGGCGTGTTCACTAGGGCACCTGCTCAGGGCAGCCCCAGGGGGATGGAGCTTGCAGGTTCTCCCCAAGGCAGCTCATTCCTGGGTGCAGCCTTTCTGGGCTTTTCTGCCTTCCCTCTCTTGCTTTGCCCAGTTGTTTCTGCTTCTTACGATCACCTCCTAGAAAATCTACCTGTGCTCAAGCCCTTCCAATGGGTCTGCCTTGGGGGAACCCAAAGAAGATAATAGCCATCCTCCTATCCAGCCACCTACTCAGCCACCCATCCACCTATCCACCCAACTACCCATCTACCCAGCAAGCCAGCCATCTGTCTGCCCACCAAGCAATAATCTCCAGCTTCCAGGGCACAGGGAATGGAGAGGGCATGTTCCTTCCTACCAGGGATCTCTCAGTTTACCCTCCAAGGGGCAGTACTAGAACAGCCAGAGACACAGATTGCTGTAAGAAGGAGGGTAGAGAACAGTCACTCAGCCTGGGGAGGGACACAAAGGCTTCAAGATGGGGTAATGCTTCTGCTGATCTTGGAGGATGTGTGGTCCAATGGAACAATGCCCTCTTGGCAGAGTGAGGGCAGGACTCAGGTCCAGCACAATGTACGCCTTGGATGCTAGAATCCCACTCAACTTAGCACCACTGATGGAGCCTCAACATTTACAGTGAATTTCTTGTAGTTGGGTCTTGTTTTGTAGGCTACTCTGTTTTAGGGGGACATTTATTTATTTGTTTGAAAGGCAGAGTGATAAAGGGGGCATGGGGAGAGAGAGGGAGGGAGGGAGGGAGGGAAAGATAAAGGGAGGGAGGGAGAGAGAGAGAGAAAGAGAGAGAGGGAGAGAATGAATGAATATCTTCCACCTGCTGGTTCACTCCTCAAATGACTATAAGAGCCAATGCTTGGCCCAGCTGAAGCAAGGAGCCAGGTCTCTGACCTGGGTGGCAAAGCCAGGTGCAATATCAGGAAGCTGGATTGGAAGTGGAACAGCTGGCACTCAAACTGGCTCTACAATATGGGATGCCGGTACCTCATGTGGCAGCTTAACCTGCACCTGCTGTGCCACAATGCTGGTCCCCGGCCTCTGGCTTTTAATTTTTGTTTTTTATACCACTCACGTCTAAACTGGCTCTTGACATAGTTGGATTCTGAGAAGGGTATTTGTAACCATTTTCTTTTTCCTGCCCTTATTCTTGAGTGATTTTGAAATAAATCTTTCCCTCTTTTTCTGCCTTCTCTGGTTTTCACTGACCACGTTACATATCTTCTGTAAGCATATTGAGTATGTTTATTTGGAAAATATTTTTAGTCTCGCTCTAAAGTTTACAGTGTGCATTGACATAATCGAAGCCCACTGTTAAACGAAGCTATTCTGCTTCCCAGGTAGCGCAGGTTCCTGACAGCAGAGTGGTCTCCGTTCCTCACCATTGCAGCACTGTTCCCGTTTCAAAGCACAAATCTGAGCCAAGAGGGACCCTCAATCAAGAGACACAAAAGCATTCTGGGAGTGCTTCAAAATCTTGGAAGCAAGAACTATGGGCCATGGTGCCTTGTTTGCAAAAATGGACTCAAAGAATTTGACCTATCCCTGGGCTGGGCTCCTTTGCCACAGTCCTCCTGGAGAAAGAGGTGATGTTTATCTTTCCACCCCAATGGGACATTAGCAAACATTCCACAATCAGGGACTTGAAAAGCACTTGTGCACTGGGGCTTGGCCTCTTGCTACTGCTACATAAAATCTGAATTTGTGACAGAGAAACAAAGGAGACTTCACTTCCTTCCTTCTTCTGCATTGTCCTCTGGGGAGCCTACACCTGTTGCTCAGGCAAAACAAGTCCCCTTTGCTGGCCGCCGATCCCTCTGGGGCTGCAGCTCAGCTGCCAGTGAGTCAGCCCCCGTACATCCCAGGCCTGATTTCTAGACACTGTCAGCCAACAGCCCTCTGCTCCCTGGCCTTTTAAATGCTACAGGAAGACCCTGACTCCAGCCACTCCTGGGATCCTCCCTATTCGCAAACATTCACCAATGCACCCATTTTATTAGCAAAGAGTCGCAGTGCAAAATCCAGCTTCTCCCTGCACCACACACACACACACACACACACACACTTTAAATAGAAAGGAAGCAGAGGCCGGAAGATTTATGATGGATGATTGGGAATGCAGGCGGCAGCTCAAAGGAGCACTGAGATATCCTTGGGGTTCAGACCAGGCGGAAGCCGGGTTTGGCCTCGAGTGAGGCTGCTCACCAGGGACAACCGCCTTCACTCTCGCTCGCTCAGATGCGCCACCCTTCCTGCCCCCAGCTCTGTCTCTGCTTGTTCCCGTAAGCCGCTGGCAGCAGCAGCACTTAATCACCACATTGCCATGTATAAAAATTTAAGGAGTCTGCTGTCTCAGAGCAATGAATCCCGGATCATTCTTAAATACTCCCCTCCCCCACTTCATCTTTCCTCTCTCTCATCCACTCTGTGCCGTCCAGTCCAGGGAGCTTATGTCTGGATCCTGCTCTGAAGGAGGCTTAGGCAGGGACAGAGCACTGTCAAGTGTGCTGCAGAACTGGGGGCACTTGTCACTGCCCAGGTGGGGGCCCCACCGAGGCAATCTCCAATCCTGGATGGACTTTCGTCTAATGTACTGGGGGTGGGGGGTGGAGTGCGTCAGCCTCTCTGGAAAGGGGCAAAGGGAAACAGAAGCCTGCTGCCCACTTCAGCCAGGTCTACTGCGACATCAGAACCATTGTAAGGGCCGGTACTGTGGCGTAGTGGGCTAAGCCTCCATCTGCGGCACCGGTATGCTATGTGGGCGCCGGTTCATGTCCCAGCTGCCTCTCTTCTGATCCATCTTTCTGCTATGGCCTGGGAAAGCTGCAGAAGATGGCCCAGGTCCTTGGGCCCCTGCACCTGCACGGGAGACCTGGAAGAAGCTCCTGGCTCCTGACTTTGGATTGGCCCAACTCCGGCCGTTGCGGCCATGTGGGGAGTGAACCAGCGGATGGAAGATCTCTCTCTCTCTCTGTATCTCCCTCTCTTTGTCTGTAACTCTGCCTCTCAAATAAATAAATAAAAATCTCTCTATATATAAAAGAACTATTGTATACCCAGGGTTGGAAGACCTTGCCTGGTTTAACCTGTGCGGCTCCGTCGCAGGGTGGGCAAGGACCATCCCTATCAGGGCAGGGTGAGGAGGATGAGGAGCAGGCAGGGAGCCAGGCCACCAGGTCTTCACTGCCAAGAGTCAAAACCAAGATTCCATTGGAGCTTCAGCACTGTGACAGCTGATGGCCCCCAAAAGCCACCCAGGGGGTCATGTGGCCTGGAGTCAGAAGCAGGACTTTGGAGACAGACAGGCAGGGACTATTGGCTACATGACCTTGGCCGGGATACTTGAACTTGGCGAGTTCTGTCATCTGTAAAACAGGGATTGGTATCAGGTCTAAAGGAAATATTGACAGACATTCTTATTTGACAGTTGCCAAAAAATACTCGACCAAAAAAGAGCAGAAGCAGTGGCTGCAGTTGTTATTCTGGTAATAAAATCGTTGTTGTTATTGATGCTGGAGATGTGACTGGGACAAG